TATACCCAGATAGTCCAATACACTTAATTCTAAAAATTTGCATAGCCCTCTTACCTTTATTAGACTCCATATTAAGCAAACAATGTTGTTTCCAATTATTTATATCTGTGTTGCTGAAAATTCAGTTGCAAAGAAGAAAAAGGCTTTAATGGAAAGCAGTAGAAGAACATATGGAATTGTTAATTTTTCTCCATTTAAGAACAGGGAGCCCACATTAGTTTGGACAGATTCTTTCCTAGTATCAGATTGTTCTAGTTAAGAAACTTTAACTCCTAAGCTTCAAAATGCTTGTGTCCACTTCAATATACATGTAAACTCTCCTTTGTCAAGCTCAGTTTCAGATGCCTTTAAGGAAACATGCATATCATGTTTTTGTTTTTTTGCTAAAGAAGTGATTTATTGTTGCCTTTTTCCAGGATATTTTTTTCAACTTCTCAATCTAATTTATGTTCCTGGAATTCCTTGGTGTTTTCCCCACAAAGCACAGTTTTGATCTGACCATCCCTAACTTTTCAAGATTAGCCAAGACTGGCTATGTTATCATTTACATGGGCACGTTCAACATACCTATAGGCAAAAAGATAGAAAGTGGGGTTTCCAGTCTTATAACTTTGCAAAAACAAGTACTAAGAAAGAATGCAGAGGCACTTAATTCTTGCTTTGCGAAATTGTTTATTTTAAATCAGGGATGAGTTAAAGGAATGGATAATCTTTTAATAACCAAGATCTGCTTTTTTTATTTGGCGAGGATGGACTTATAACCTCCAGAGTGAGTGAAATCATATAATGTATGTAGATGAAATTGGGGCAGGGAGATGTTTTAGAAATGTTATTTTGTTTTTAAACAATGATGTGACTTTTTGGAAGCTAGCATTATAGTCTTCTTTTGTTTTCCACCTGTCAGTTTTAAACAGTCATGATTAGAAAGATTTCTGAGGACTATAGAAATGAAATTTAGAAGCTGCATGCTTTGAGAACACAGGTTACCCACTTCTACTTTTATTATATACTCTATGATAGGATTGTACTCATCTGGACTTCTGGAGGAATTTGGGAAATTTGATTCCTTCTGTATATGAACTGATAATGATTATTAATCTCTCTGTGTGTGTGTGTGTGTGTGTGTGTGTGTGTGTGTACGCACACACACACATGTAAATTGGATCCCCCAATTCTGAAAAATGAGTTTATGGCAAAGCATAGTTTTGAATAAGAAACTAGAAAAAATATTGCTTTTCATTTTTGAGATTATGCAAACTGAGAACATTCACATCTGGCTGCTGTCCTTATCAGTGACAAAAAAGGTTGCTTCCCCAGGAGGATGACTTAAGCTAGGGCAGGGGTAGGCAACCTCGGCTCTTTTATGACTCATGGACTTCAACTCCCAGAATTCCTGAGTCCATGAGTCATAAAAGAGCCGAGGTTGCCTACCCCTGAGCTAGGGAATGAACAGAAGCAGTGCAAATCAGTTAGTCTTCCTTTACTTCTAAGCTGCTTTCAGATATATCAAATATGATATCCTATATTATTGGCAGGAGTGTCAGCCATCCCACTCAGTCATCTAGCAAAAAAACAACAAAAAAACCTCCTGGTCATGTGTTTTGCCAAGAGTATACTTACTGAAGCTTAAATGGTTACAGATGTTTTCCTATGCAAACAACACAAAGAAAAGCTCCCTCCCCCCCATCCCCTGGTTATCAGCAAATGTCCAATCAGGTGCTTGTATATTGTCTAGGAAACAGCCATGACAGTAAGTTTGAGGGATTTACTATTATAGCAGCTTCATTCCTTGCTGAAGGAAACTATTCAGCAGATAATGATGTGAACTCTTGTTCTGCCTCATAGCTGTTGCCCATTAAATTGAGTCTTGCCTTATTTTTCATGCTTGAAGCCAAGAACTCAATCATAGTATGATCAATATGCAGATTCTCTTCAGCTTTACTTTTTCTTTCCTCCAACAATTTGCTAAATGGTGCCTGGAGACAGTATTGGGATTGATGGGAGGAGAGCAAATAAGCTGTAGCTTCATTGATAAAATAGAAATACAGTTAACCTTTGAATCTGTGGAAGTACAGTATGTGACCAAGGTTAATTGGAATTGCAGGTATCCTGAGGAACCAAATGGTCCTTGACTCAGTACAATCCTTAGAACTCTATCTGATGTTGAACATTTTAAAAGAAATTGAATAAATCTCCATATTCAGATTACCAGATGAAATATTATTGAACTGTATGATAACATATTTGAACCATTTTATATAGTCTATAAAAAAAACCGAATTGCAAGAGCAGTTTTGAGACAGTAGTTGAAGCTTCCAGGAAAGGGATGTATTTTCCTGTGCCAAGTAGAAAGCCCTGAAACAGTACTGTGGAAATGTAAATCCAGAATATTTATTTGTCTGCATTGATTTGGTATTCTTGTTTTTATCACAGTCACCTGAGGAGATTGATAAAAAGATACTTAAGCCTGATGCAGAAAACAGAAATGCTCAGAATGAGCCAATTGAAGATACTGATGTATTTACTCGGAAACATTCAGAGAACCTTTTTCAGAGAACAGAGGTTCTGGCAGGTAAGGGCCATCTGTCAATATTTTTTTAGTTTTAGAAAAAGCATAAAAAGTCTGCAGTTCCTGATGGGTTCTTGCAACCCATTGCTATAGGTCAGTGGTGGCGAACCTATGGCACGGGTGCCAGAGGCAGCACTCAGAGCCCTCTCTGTGGGCACCCACGTCATCGCCCCAGTCCTAGGCCTTCAGCTGGGTTTTATAAAACTTTTTCGCTTTAGGCCTCCGCTGCCGTGTGCAAAAATAAAAAAAAGGTTCAATCAGTCAATTTCAACTTCTCACAGGAAAAAAAAAGTTCTTGCAAAGTTGGAATTGATTGATTGAACTTTTTAGTCCCACCCAGTCTGCCGTTACCACTGCAGCCATGCCCACCCAATTGGCCACGCCCACCCAATTGGCCACACCCAGCCAATGGGCCACACCCACCTGGCACTCGATGATGCATAAGTGGGTTTTGGGTTGCAGTTTGGGCACTCATTCTCTAAAAGGTTCGCCATCATTGCTATAGGTTATGCAATGTGTCTTCCTCACTTGAACAGATTTCCCCCTTTTTCCTTTTGTGCCTAACTAAGTTAGGCCAAGAAAATAAGGCTGCTTTCCCAAAACTGCTTTTTTTTTCTCAAAAGGCAACTGAACTTTCTTTGTAGTCATCCAGTCATACAATATAAATAGCTCCATTCCCCACCAGTTAGTTAGAACTGAAGAAGTTTCTTAGATGAGAAGTGAAATGTTTTCAAAGGAAAAAAAAAACAAGAAAGTCCAGTTGCCTTAAAAAAAACACCACACACAAACACCTTTGGGACAACCATGATCTGGATCAGGGGTAGTCAACCTTGGCTCTTTTATGACTCGTGGACTTCAACTCCCAGAATTCCTGAGCCAGCTGTGCTGGCTCAGGAATTCTGGGAGTTGAAGTCCACGAGTCATAAAAGAGCCAAGGTTGACTACCCCTGATCTGGATGATAGAGAATCTCCATAGGCATAAGGCTGCTACTTTATTTCCTCTTTTCAGAGTGAAGCTACCTTTTCTTACATTTGGTAGTACCAAAACACCAAGATGACTTCTTGAACGACAACCTGAGGAAAAACTAAATATTCTTTACCTGTGCAGGGCTGTAGCCAAGAGAAGGAGGATCTCAAGTATGAGATTCAAACACATGTTTTAATGTTGCTTCTTAGGCTGCAGTGATAAACATACCCACCAAAAAATAAATCATTTTGAACTTGGCAGGACTTACCGTAAATGTAATGATGATTAGCACTGAGCTGTCAAGAAACATTGGATACTCTTTTCCCCAGAAAATACTGTGATCTCCCTCCCACCACCCTGTCCCCATTAATTTATGATCTGAGCTACTGAATCCAAGGACATATTAATTTTAAGTTGTTGCAGTCCATCATGTTCTTGTTACAATAAAGCACTTGCGAAAAGTCAAATTCCTGTTTTCTCTCACGAATAGACTTTGCAAATGGAATTCAGTGGAGCTTTTTTTCTTCTTGTTTACAGCCGTTATTGCTGGTGGAATCATTGGCTTTCTATTTGCAATCTTCCTTATCCTGCTTTTGGTGTACCGCATGAGAAAGAAGGACGAAGGGAGTTATGACCTCGGGGAGCGTAAACCCTCCAGCGCTGCCTACCAGAAGGCACCCACTAAAGAGTTTTATGCATAAAACTCTAAACGTAGTGTCTCTATTTCAGAGATCACTGAACTTTTTAAATAAAGCTTTTTTTTTTTGCCTAGAATAATGAAGAACTTTTTTTTCCATTAAAGAGCCTTTATGGCACCTTTATGATAAAAAAGAGAGATCCCATTGTATTTAAAACTTTCATGTATTCCTTTTAAAAAATGTAAAATAAAATCTTAACATTTTGCAGTATTCTGTGAATAGCAGTGGCAACATATGATTTTATATAGCCGTTGATGTTCACCGAATTATTTACAAAAAATTATGCATAAGTGGAAATGATTGTTTTATCTGATGGTTCAATGGAAGTTGTTTAATTTTGTCAGCATGTCTGATGATTCTCACAAGTTAGTTTTTATTTCATTAATTTATCTGTTCTCCAAAATTAAAAATAAAATGCCTTTTTGTAGTTGTCCTAGTGCAATTTGTGTTCATATAATTCAAATAATGGTAACTCTTAGTGTAAATGTATTTTTTCAGCTATGTAAACCTTAACCTCCATTTTGTATAAATTTTACTGTCAGAAACTACATTTTACCCCTGTTTTTTTCAGTGGTTTGTGTAGCTTGATTGAAATTTAAAGTGTAAAATTGGACTACTACTGCAAACTATATAATTACTTCCCTTTACAAAACAAATCTTTATAGGAGATATTTTCAGTAAGCTACTGACAAGCCTACATAAACCCAAAGACTCTTAACAGTATTGCAAGGGGTTGCTGCAAAATTTCTTTGGCCACTTGTTTTTTTTTATTTTATTAATTGCAATTTGAAGGTACGAGATAAAATTCAAAATGAATCTGAATCCTTTGTTCCTTTTTTTAAGCATTTAAAGTAAATGTCTTTTAAAGCCTTTGAAGTGCCTATGATTCTATGTAACTTGTTGCAGACTGGTGTTAATGAATATATAACATTAAAACAAAGAAATGTTGATATTTTATAAGCACAGACAATTCTAATGGTAACTTTTGTAGTCTTAAATGGATAGACATAAATTGTAATTTGGAAGCATAAACACTACTGAATAAATCATGTGGCCTAATACTGAAATATATTATTTGGGGTTTTTATTTTCATCATCCTGCATATTACAAATAGCACCTTTATGTGACAAAGGGATTTGTGTGAAAATAAGGATTTCAGAAGACCATTAGCAACATTTTGCAGTAGAAAATCAATATTGCCTTGTCAGCACTTAAAGTTTCTAATTCTCTTTAACACTGGACAGATTTTAAGTAGTAATTAATAGGTGCCATTTCTATGCTGCTTATATTTATATGATTTTCCCCCCCTCACTTGGCTTTTGAAACTAGTAACTTGATGTTAAGTAGTTTAAGAAGAAGAGGCACAGTTATTCTATAACAATAAGCAGTGAGGATTTAAAATAGCTGTAGCTTGACCAAAACAATTGTTCTGATAGATACTAAGTGTGGTGGATGCACATGGGAGAAGTCTGAAACAGAGAATGCGACAAATTAAGCAATCCTGCCATTGTTGCTAAGATGTATTGAAAACTAATTTGAAGTAATAGTATATACTAAGAAACCCAATTTTGGCCCACTGATGCTTCTTTGAAAATCTCCCCTTCCATTTCCAGCTCTTACAAGTTTTCTCTGATCGATGGCCTTTGGCCAGAAGCCCCAGTGCCTGACTGAGAAATTATATGTTCATTCTTGCCAACCAAACAAGGATATGACAATGAAATGCATTTAATCAATTCATATAAGCAAATAGTTATTCTTCTGCATTAAATCATATTCCCAGGCTGAGGTTACAAGAAGAAAAGAGATTATTGAAGTATAGTCATTCCAGTGTCTTATAGGTTATAGAACAGAGGAAATTACAAGCAGAAGTCTCTGCACACAAAAAAAACCAGAAGCTACTGTTCATTCAAAGTTCAGCCACAGCCAGGTCAAATATCCCTCCCATGTTTCATCCAGGTAATCCTTGATTTATAACTGGTCGCTTAGCGACCATTTGAAGTTACAACGGACCTCCCAGGACTACTTATAACCCGGATTCAAACTTCCAACAGCTGCCCCTCCCATCAAGTGATCACATTTTGGATGCTCAGCAGACAGTCCATATTTATAGTTGTTTCCTATGTCCTGTGGTCATACAACCATCATTTATGATGGTTTTTGCTGAAAACTGGTGTTTACTTCTGGTTTCTAGCAAAAATCACCCATTGCGGACAATGGATTCAGTTGCTGACCGCCACAAAAATCGGGCCCAGTCACATGGTGAGCCATTTAATGACTAGAATAACCTATGACCATAATTCCGGGCTCAATTATGGTCATAAATCAAGGATTTCATTAATTTGATTCTTAATTCAAACATTTTGATGTTACAATTTGTGCCATGTTAACAAACAAGTAAAACACATAACTAATACAATTCCTGTCCATATGTTTAAGACATTAAATGTGAACATGTTATGATTTTCTACATTCCAGAAAGGTTCTTAGGAGTAGCTGAGACTTGGAGAGTGCATCAGGAAAACACATATATAGTTTAAAGGTTTATAGTCTTATAAATTAGTGATAGATGGGCCACTTTTGACTTTTAAGCTACAGATATTATTTTGGATGTGACGGGGGGGACCATATTTTTTTCACTTTATATTAAGAACAATGCTTAATGGGATGAATGAACAAATCTAGTAGGAAGATTAGAATTCATTCTTAGATGTAAAAATTGGTCATTTTGAAAAGTTCTCTCAGATATTGCTCTGGCATGGATATTTTTTTTTAAAAAAAATTATTGACAAGTTTTCAAACAATAAAAGACAAATCTAAATAAAAAAGGAAAGAAAATAAAATAAAAAAATAAAAGGTGTGAAGAAAAACAGAAAAAAGAAAAATATCTAAAGAAACAAAAATAAGTGACTTCTGATTTTCTTTGCAACAGAAATTAACAAATTCACTAGCCATCCTCCCTCCCTAATATTACAAAAATCCCTTCACCTGCATATTATTTTTCAGTCGTCAAATCCAAAAACTGTCACTTTATTTTTCTTTGATTTCAACAAAAAATCCATAAAGGTTTTCCAGTCTTTCAGAAAAGCACTTATCATTTTATCCCTGACTAAACAGGGTTATTTTGCCATTTCTGCTAATTCTAATACTGTCATAGTCCTTTCCTCCATTGTGAGAATTTCAATACTTCTCCATCACTGTGCTTATAAGTCTTGCAGTAGTTACCATATATAAAACCAATCTTCCATGAACTTTTCCTAAGCCGTTGTCCATAAATCCCAATAAAAATAGTTCTGTTTTTTTCAATGTTGGTCTTTAATTTTTTTGTATCACTATATACTTGTATTCATAATTTTAGCTGTTTCATAAGTCTACCATGCATTTCCAACATTGATTTGAAATACCTACAGTATATACATATTTTTGTCTGTGTAATATACCAGCAGTACATACTTTTTATATGTTCTCTCTTAAATAAGACACAATGTGAATTTCAGTCTATTTATCTACATTCTTTCTTATTTATCCATTTGTATATTATTACCAAAACTCATAGCACCATTTCATCATGCAGTCCTTAACTTGTTCATCTCCAGTTTCAAATCTTAACCAAAGCTTATGCATGTTTTGCCTCCTTGAGTTACTTACAAAAGTAATAAAAGTGAAGTAAAAAAATCTAATTAAAAAAATCTAATAATCTAATGTTTGCAATTCCAAGTTTATCATTTGTACATAATTCATTTTCAAATGCTGTCTTATATTGTTCAATTCCACTCAGTTTTTAAAATCTATATTAAATCTTTTTCTTGATTGTGCATATGAAACCCATTGAAAACCTATCAAGCATGGGTGTATTTGTCTAGTGTATTTGTATTTTTTATTGAACCTTAATGCAATTTTACTATTTTAATATAATTTTCTGTTTTTGTTTTGTTTGCTATCCAGAGAGTTCCTTGGATAATTGGGTGATGATATAAGTTGGAGGGAAGGATGAATCGATGGATATACAGTACATTTTTTTAAAAAAACTTGCTTTTTAATACTAAGTGAAGGTAAAATCTTGCCTGTCAGTGAGAATAAACAGTGGATTGGCTTGCCTCCAGAAGTCACTGGAAATTATTAAGAAAAGATTGGACAGCCATTTGTCCGGAAAGGAATAAGGTATCCTGCTCAAGTAGGAGGTTGGACTAGAAGACCTCCAAGGTCCCTTCCAACTCTGTTATTCTGTAATTCTGCCTGGTTGGAAGAGCTGCTGCAGACAGTGCTTGCTCCCAAGTCCCCTCTTGTCACACATCATAAGGGGTAGGGTTTTCAACGAACATTCTCTACAGACTTGCCTTGGATGAATATATTTTATCTGAAGCACATCCTCGTGGATTTATGACTACTGCTCGATAGGTAGATAGAGTCACTGACCAGGAGGACTTTTGTCCAGCTTCAACTGATATGCAGGTAACAGCTCTATCTAAAATGAATGGATCTTGAATGATAATTTATCCCGACTTATGATAATAACAAGGAGTTCTACATAGGGCAGCCTTTGAAAATCACTTAGAAACTGCAAAAGGCTGCTTATTAGTGTCTGCTATTTACCAGGAACATTGATTATGGTGAAATTCAAAGCAATGGTTTTAATTATAATGCCCTAGATCAGGGGTAGGCAACCTCGGCTCTTTTATGACTCATGGACTTCAACTCCCAGAATTCTATGCTGTCAGCTATGCTGACTCAGGAATTCTGGGAGTTGAAGTCCATGAGTCATAAAAGAGCCGAGGTTGCCTACCCTTGCCCTAGATGGTACCATTTCCCACTTAAATCTCTATTTAATAGGCTCATCCTGAGAGAAACTATTGTTAGTTTACCGTTTTCATGAAGTGGCTGAAGCCAGCAGATGTTGCTTTTCTGTAATGGCTCAGTCTTATCGAACAGCTATCCCTGAGAAATTAGATTTGTTCTCTCAGTGATTGTTTTCTGGTGGCAGGTAAAAATGGATCTTGAAAATTTCTGATGGTTCGTTGGATTTATCTGTGTTTTGATTTTTTTTTCTGTGATGGCTTCAATTATTATTTTAGCTAATTCATTTTAACTGAGTTTTAATTTGCTGGCTATTAGCACAGATGTTGTCATTTGGATACCATAGATATTTTAACTGTATTTTTCTAGTACTTGTTCATCATTAGAATGATACAGGGATATACAAAAAGAATGAAAGGGGAGGGGATCATGGTGGTGCCAATAGAAAAAAATGTAGTCATCAAAAATAGAAAAAAGAAGGATGGAAGCCAGTTAATTTGAGCAAGAGAGATTTAATGGCACATTTCCTTAGAACTGCACATTAAATAAATGGTTTTATTTTCTAGGCAACTGCACCTTTTCTTAATTCAGAAACCAATGTGGAGTGACATTTAAATTGATATTATGTTTTCAGGGCACAGAAAGCTGTAAAATTAACCAAACATTTTAGAATATCTGTTATGGAAACAAACTCAGTTATGCTCACGTAGATCCACTGTAATTAATGTTTAATCTCACTGATTACAGCAATCCAGATGAATTACGACTGTCTGAATGCAATCTTTATTTATATAATTTATATTTTTTTAAATCTCAGTATTTGGTTCAGCTAATTCCTTTTTTATTACTTATAAGAAGTTAAACAGCTATTTTTCTGCTATGCAACTTTATTGAATAACACTTGAAAATTAATGAAATGCTACACTTTGGATTGTCACAAGTTGAGCAATTTTAAAATTGTGTTCAGCAAATGTTCCTTCATTGCACAATATGTGGCAAAGCTGAGTTCAGAAATAAGTAAGATAAAAATAGCAGAATGTAATATTCTGACAATTATCCCCCTCGACAAAGCAAAATAAAACTCTTAACTACTGTTGTGAAGTATACCATGAATTTAAAGTTTAAGATGAAAAGTATTGTGCTCAAACAAAGTTTTATTTGTAGGGCTTGATGCTTATTTCTCATACTTTCTAATAATTTACAATACAATAGATATAACAGATGGGTGTTCTCAACCTTTTCTTCACCACAGACTCCCTTTAAATATACGTTTTG